CAGTTTGTATTGCCCATATCTTCTTGGATATGTAGCTGTCCACTGGTGCGTGGTTGACCTACCAGGGGCCATACGCTTAAAGAAGACTGGCTCTCCCTGTCTAGCAATCTATCAATTGCCAATCTCTCTTCAGCTAGAGGTGGGGGGGCTTCATGCCCATCTCATTTCTCATGTTGGGATTTTGTATGGATTAGCCTTGCACAGGTCTTGTCCACACTATCTCAACTTCTGTGAGTTCATATGTGCAATTGCTCTGCTGTGTCTTGAAGGTGTACATGCCTGTGACATAGCACACATGTGAAAGACAGAGGACAACTTGTAGAAGTCAGTTCTCTCCTTCCACCGTGTGAGTTACAGGGATAAAATTCACGCCACCAGGCTTGGCAGCAAGGGCCTTTACCCACTGAGTCAACTTGCTGGCCCATAAATGGTATATTTTATGTTATATGTGTTTCACTAATGTAGCTCAGAGGATTGGACGCTTGATTTGGGTCTCTATAACTGTTCTTAGGGCTATTTGGTCCACAGGTAGCTGGAAAAGGGTTCAATATCAAGGAGACACTTCAACATGATGAGATGCTTCTACATCATTATTTGAATGGCTAAATTAAAGCTGGTAATACCAAGTGTCAGCTAAGCTGTAGAACATCAACAGTTCTTTCCTGCTATTGAAGAGTGTATAAAATTGCTTAAATAGTGTGAGATCTATTTTAGTCATTTTTTGAATGTTAAGTGAATGCCTATCTTTCAAATCCAAAAATTTCCCTCCAGAGTATTTGCCTAAAGGAAATTAAAATATGACCACTAGAATAATGCACCCAAAATGACTAGAACCTTGATAATACTACCCCAAACTACAAGCAACTTACTTGTCCATCAGTATGTGAATAAACAAATAGTTTACATATTACATATAGATGAGAAATTGCATGTTATAGGTCTACCATTTAAGGGTAAAAAGATAAACTACTAGTACAAAAATATAACTATGTCTCACTGATGTCATGTTAATCAAAGTCGAGGAGCTGAGGAGATGACTCTGTTAAAGTGCTTGCTACGCAAGTGAGAAGAACAGGGTTCAGATCTCTAGATCACGGGTAAATGCTGAGTGAGTCCTGGAAGGCAGAGGACAGCAATCCCCAGGGCATGCTGACTGGAAAGACTAGGCATATTGTTGAGCTCTGGGTTTGACTGAGAGTCCCCGTCTCAGTGAATAAGGCTATGAAGGATGAGTTCCAACATTAACCTAGGCCTCCATATGCATGTGCACATATGTGCACATACATCCCCACATATATAAGTGCAAACACATGTGAACAAACACACACACACACACAGAGTAAAACTGGGAAAGGAAAAATTTTTACAAAGATTATGCACTTTGAACTACATTTATATAGAACTTTAGAACTAAAATTAATAATTTCTAGAAAATAAGAACATCACGAGCCTGTGTCAGGGAAGTTGAGAGAAAAAGGCCTGAGGAGAACTTTCTAGGGTGAAATAGATGCCTGATCTACATATTGATTGAGGTAGGATGTGTGAATTTTCCAAAGTTCATTGTATTAAACATCTAAGATTTATGTGTTTTTAGATACATAATCTTTTTAGTATTTTCTTTGTTATTTTTATTTTATGTGTATGAGTGTATTGCCTGCATGTATGTGAGTACGCCCATGTTGTGCAATGCTGCAGAGGTCAGAAGAGGGCTTCAGAATCCTCTGGAACTGGAGTTAAGGATGGTTCGTAGCCGTCATGCGGGTGCTGGGAATCGAACCCTGGCCTTCTGCAAGAGCAGTCAGTGCTCTTAATCTCTCCAGCCCCTAGACACACAATCTTAATAGAAGGAGTTGAAAACAAATAAAGCTCTGGGTAATGGGACTGTTTTGAAACAATATAGGTTATAAATTCTCCAGTTAGCTTTTGTGAGTTTGAAACCTGAGTGAATTATTAAACATACTCGTGATAATAGTGATCACATTCCTCAGAAATTTAAAACATCAAGAATAAAAGCCCAGGGCGGGATGGCTTCTGAACTCTACCAAACGTTAAAAAAAAGAACTAAAACCCGACAAAACCTCAGCATGAAGAGTGGAGGTGGATACAATGTCCCATCCCCAGATGAGGAGCTGTTGCCAATTACTAACTGCTGGGAGAGGGAGAATCGATTTTCTTTAATAGTGTGGCCACTAGTAGGCAACTACACTCTGGTAGCACAAATTGAATTTAATGGTTTTAAAACAAAAGGGGACACAAACTTGGGTAGGGAGGGGAGGGGGAGTGGACCTGGGGGAAGTTGTGAGAGCAGGAGAACATGATTAAAACACACAGTATGAAATTTTCAAAGAACTAATTACAAAATGAAGAAAAAATAAGTAATGTCAAACTTTCTTTTCCCCCAAGCTTTGCCCCATATATGTTGTGTGTGTCAAGAGAGATATTGCTCTCCTTTTAACTTAATTTCTTTCTTTCTTTGTTTATTGTGTGTATGTGTGCCTGGGTACATGTCGGCCATGGCATGCTTGTGCAGGTCAGAGGACAACTTTCAGGAGTTGGTTCACTCTCTCCACTATGTGGGACCTAGGGATTGAACTCAGACCATCAGCATTGGCAGCAAGCGCCTTTACAAGCTGCACTATCTCACCAGCTCTTTTTAAAAGATGTATTCCTGGCTGGCATCAAACTCATGATCTTCATGTCTTTATCCCTTTAGCATATCCTGCCAACATATGCCACCACAACCAGCCCAATCCTTAAATGCTTCTGAAGAGTAAAAAGAAATCCTTCCAGACTTATTCTATGAGGCCAGCTTCACCGTCATATCAAACTAAAGGCATAACAAAACCAAGAGGAAAGAAGACTCCAATTTTGGGGCTGGAGAGGCGGCTCAGTGGTTAAGAGCACTGACTGCTCTTATATGGGACCTAGGTTCAATTCCCAGCACCCACATGGCGGCTAACAACTGTGAGTACCCCCAGTCCCAGGGGATCAGACACCTTCTGAGCTCTGTGGGCATTGCACTACACGGGTGTATTTACACACACACAGGCAATTCACTCACATACATAAAATAAAAATAATAAATAATAAATATTGGGTTCTTTTAAAAAGAACCCAATATCCTTGAACTTAGACACAAAGACCATTAATAAAATACTAGCAAACCAAGTGTATCTTCACATCAAAAAGATTATGCATTGTGACAAAAATGAGACTCATCCCTGGGATACAAGTTTAGTTTACAAAGCAATTAATGTTGTAGACTGTATTAACAAAATAAAGCTAAAGAGTACCTTACCATCTCAGCAAAGAAGAAGCACTTGACAGATTTCAGTATCCTATCTTGACGAAAACTCTCAGGTAAGCAGGGGTAGAAGAAATACATTTCTTGAACTGTTATTTTTACTCTGATAATTGGCTTTCTGTCCACCATAATAGATAGAGAACCACCCACCCCAATCTTCTCCTCTGAAATCTGATCTTCTGTAAGCATGTCCCCTGTAGACACTTCTATTGAGCTCCATACTGAGAACATAGCAAGGGCAATTAGACAAGAATAAATGAAAAGCACCCAAATTTAAAGGAAGAAATAAAGTGATCCTTGTTTGCAGATGACATGAGCTTTTTATCAAGAACCTATTTTTTAAAAATTTCTGTGTATGTGTCTCTGTGAATGTGTGTCATGTGAGTACAGTTCCTGTGGAGGCCAGAAGAGGGCATTGGATCCCCTGGAGCTGGAGTTGTAGGCAGTTGTGAGGAGTCTGTGAGTGCTAGGAGCTAAACTCAGGTCCTCTGTGAGAGCATACAAGCTGTTAACCTCTGACCCAGACTTAATCTCTCCAGCCCCAGACTTGCTAATAAGTAGAACATTCTAAAGGTTACACCCAGGTTTGTTGCTATTAAGTAAATTTGGACAACAAGCAAACTACAAATTGACACACACAACCTAGTTCTATTTTCTAGGATGTCTTTTCATTGTAGGCATTTGTTCTTTTACCACGCAGAAACATTTTAATAAACATGAGTAAAAAAGAATAATTTTAACAATCATTCTACTTCTATCCTTATTGTTTGTTTATGTGTCTGTGTATGGGCAGTATGTACATGTGTGTGATGGTGCCCCTAGGGTCCTGAAGCTGGAGTTACAGGTGGTTGTTAGCTGCCTTATTGTGTGTACTGGGAACTAAACTCATGTCCTCTGCAAGAACAGCAAGCATTCTTACCTGTCTCCAGTCCCTTACTTTATTTTAAAAATATTTTAGTTATTATTTTTATTTTATTTTATGTGTATGAGTGTATTGCCTGCATGTATGTAAGTGCACCCATGTCATGAAATGTCCGCTGAGGTCAGAAGATACCCTGGAACTGGAGTTACAGATAGTTGCTAGCTCCCATGTGGGTGCTAGGGACCAAACCCAGGTCCTCTGCAAGAGCAGTCAGTGCTCTTAACCACTGAGCCATCTCTTCAACCTCCCCGTTACTGATTTTTAAATTTAACATGAATATCCACCATAACATAAAAATCTATTTTTGTTTAAGAGCGGACTGTTATATCACAATTAATTTATTTAAACCACCCACCATTAGACAATTAGGTTGTATCTGTTTCACTACAATGAAGCAAACATTCTTATACATGTATCTGTATTTTCCAGAATGCATAGGCACAGTAGGTAAATATCTATCAATCTTCCAAGAATAAAAAAATGATGGAATTGGTCAGTTACATTTCGTGAGTTATGACAAGTGGGTAGATCACCAGCCACTTACAGATCATTTTCTTTGACTTGTTTTCTAGTAGATTTTGCCTATTTCTCTCTTGGTTAGTTCAGATTTACTTGGTGCTTGGTATGTCACCACTGTGTATTATATGGAAAATGTTTTACTCTATTTTTCTGTGGGGTTTAAGGTTATTATGGTGTTTTGGTGCCTGGAAGTATTTGTAGTTCTTTTTCTGTGTTGTGTTTGGGGATCAAATTTAAGCCCTTTGTATATTACAGTGGATGTCTACCACTGAGCTACATCCCCCAGCTCTCAAGGAATGTGTGATTCAGGATGTGAGAAACCAGGGCATGAAGATGGTGGTCAAGGCCAGTGGAGGGTCTTCTGCAGCACAGCATGAACCTCCCTGTTCCTCAGACAGTAGATGATGGGGTTACACAGGGGTGTGACCACCGTGTAGATGACAGACAGTACTTTGTTGAGGTCCATGGACTTGATGCGGCTGGGGCGGCAGTAGATGAAGAGAGCCGCGGAGTAGAAGATGCCGACCACCACCAGGTGGGAGGCACAGGTGGAGAAGGCTTTGTGGCGGGCAGCGGCTGACGGCATACGGAGCACAGTCATCCCAATGGCTGTATAGGAGGCCAAGGACACCAGGAGTGTTCCACAGAAGATGACGATGGCCGAGATGAAGTCCACCAGCTCTGTGAGGGCCACGTGGGTGCAGGACAGGTTGAGCAGAGGGGAAACATCACAGAAAAATTGGTTGAGGACATTGGGGCCACAGTAGGACAGGCTGGCAATGCATGTGGTTTTGGCCACTGAGACCACCAGTCCACCCAGCCAGGAAGACAAAGCTAAGCCCAGGCAGACCTGGGGCCGCATGAGCACTGGGTAGTGCAGTGGGTGACAGATGGCCACAAAGCGGTCATAGGCCATGGAGGCCAGGAGGGTGCACTCTGTGCAGATGAGGACTATGAAGAAGAAAAGTTGGGTCATGCAGAGTGTGAAGGAAATACGGTAAGGCCCCATCCACAGCCCCACGAGCAGGGTTGGCATGGTGACTGACACATAGCACATCTCCAGGCAGCTGAGGTTTCCCAGGAAGAAGTACATGGGCTTGTGGAGTTCGTTGTGACTGCAGATGAGGTAGATGATCAATGTATTCTCTAAGAGTGTCAGCAAGTAGAGAGTCAAGAAGACAGCAAACAGGACGTCCCTTAGCCCCAGCCTTGTTGACAAGCCCAGCAAGATGAATTGCTGGACCCTGGTCATGTTAGTCACCTCAAATGCCTTCTCCATCTGTGGAGAGAAAAAACAATTAGTAACAACTGTCTTTCAAAGGCATAGTAGTAAAAAGTAGTATAAGGATGTTCGCAGTGCTTTGAGCCTGTAGTGACTTTATCACCCCCACATCTGTTGGAAACTGGCTAAGAAAGAACCTCATGTTCATGAGATTGGCTCCACAGCTGATGACTCCAGTGTATAGAAAGAATGGGACCACCTGCAAATTCAGAGAATAAACATCGCTTCCCAGGGAATTAAGAGAGGGACCACATCGACATTTATTATACTAAGAAATGCATTTATATGTATGGGGTGTGTGTGTGTGTGTGTGTGTGTGTGTGTGTGTGTGTGTCTCACAGAGGCCAGAAGAAGGCTGCACATTCCCTGGAGCTGGGGTTACAGGCAATTGTAAGCTGCCTATTATGTGTGCTTGGAGTTGAAATCAGGTGCTCTGCAAGAACAGCAAGTGTTCTGAACCACTGAGCTCTTTCTCCAGCCCCTGTCCTGTCCTGTCCCATCATAACCTGTTTTATTCACTTTTATTTTTGAGGCAGGCTCTCATGTAGTTCAAGCTGGCCTCAAACTCACCATGTAGCTGAGTATGGCCTTGAACTTCAGACCCTCTTTCCTCCTCCTCCTGAGCACTGGAGCCACAGGAGTGCATCACTAAGTTCCATTTACGCAGTGCTGGGGATTGAAACCAGGACTCTGAACGAGAGGTGAACACTAATTAAGCTACATCCCCAGCGTTGGCTACTTGACCTCTGACCATGAAGGAACGTGATCCTAAAAAGTTGGCAAGATGGTTATATAGGAAATGAGAGAGGTCCAGAAATGCCAGGAGCTGAGGGGAACAGCATCATGGGAAGACACACTGGCCATGGCATGAGGGATGAGGAGGGAATGGCAGTGGTTGGACCATGAGGGTGGAAGTGACTTGAGGGATCAGTCCTGGGAAATTAAGGGTCTGTTGTCATAACCAACAATTCAGTGGGGCTGTTGCGGTGATTCAACAGGTAAGGATGCTTGTCTCCAATCTTGACTACCTGAGTTTGATCCCTTATACCTATGTGGTGGAAGGAGAGGACTGACTCCTACAAGTTGTCCTCTGACCTTCACATGCATGCTGTGACACACACACACACACACACACACACACACACACACACACACGCACGCCCACATACACACATGTTTTTAAATTTAATATAAAATGTAACAAGGGAGGCAGAGGCAGGTGGATCTCTGGGAGTTCGAGGCCAGCCTGGTCTCCATAAGGAATCCAGGCCAGCTGGGGCTACAAAAAAGACCAAAAAAAGTAACAATGTATTCATGTTCAGGGCTTCCTAAGTCTCTCCTTGGATTTTACAGCTGCCATGCCAGGAATTTTGTACAGTATTTTATTCATTTTCTTTAAGGACATTAAAAAAATCTACCATTTTCTAGAGTTTGAAAACAGAGTGGCTGAAACTCAGGAAGTGGGAGTGACTTGTCTGAGTTCCCATGGCCAGTGTGGGAAATCAGGATAAAACCCAGACTTCTTACCACGCTTTACCTGTCTCTGTGCTATAACAGTCAGCACTGTAAGTGCCAAAGAAGGGTCTGGGGGGCAAATCTCTGAGACACAACCACGAGGACCCAAATGAGATCCTCAGAACTCATGTAAAAACCTGTGTGCTGTGGTGGTACGCTTGTAATCCAGGTACTGGGGAAGTGGAGACAGATCCCTGGGGCTTCCTGACCAGCCATTGGAGCTTATCTGGTTGGTTCCAGACCAGTAAGCGACCCTGACTCAAAAAGCAAGGTAGATGGTGCCTGAGGAAAAATACTCAAGGTTGTTCTCTGGCTTTCACATGCACATGCATCCACATGAATATGCACACACATGTGCATACATACACACACAGACAGACAGACAGACAGACACACACACACACACACACACACACACACACACACTAATCACCAAGGAATAACCATCTTAGTATAATACCAACAGCTTCTTGACTAAGTTTTTTTTTATGTGTAAGGTATTTTGCTAAATGCTTCCCAAACTTTAGCTTGTTAAAGCCTCTGTTAAAATACAGTTGCTGGGGTTGGGTTATTGCTCAGTGGTGGAGTGCCTGCCTGACATGCATAAGGCCCTGGGTTTAATCCTCAGCACCACAAAGAAAGAAGAAAGAAAGAAAGAAAGAAAGAAAGAAAGAGAAAAAGAAAGAAAAGAAAATGTAACGTCTAGTCCTACATGCAGCTGGAGTACCAAGCTCTGAAAATAGCAACTTACCTAAGATGCAGGGAAGTGCTTCTAGAACTGGGGTACACCTAAATAACTAGCACAGAACTGGGGTATGCACTGGGTGCACAGTGGGCTCCCTAAATAACTAGCACATTCCTCTGTCCCATGCTTAGTCTCTTTTTTCTGTTTAGTTTCTAGCAAACCTCCTACTTTATATGTTTCAATATGAAGTTGAACAAACTAACTAGAAGTATGTGTCAAACTCACACATAAATGAATCTTCTGTAGAACAGTGTTAGGTATGAAAAGCGTTTTGAGATAGATCCCCTGGTCCTGGGAGCAGGGAGTCTGAGGAACAGCATGCACACATGATTTATTTCTTTTTAAAAAATATTATTGTTTTTATTTTACGTGTATGAGTGTATTGCCTGAATGTACGTAAGTTAACCCGTGTGCCCTCAGAAGCCAGAAGAAGGTATTCGATTTCCCTGGAACTGGAGTTACAGACAGTTGTGAGCCACCATGTGGGTGCTGGGAATCAAATCTGGGTCCTTTGCAAGAGCAGTCGGTGCTCTTAACTGCTGAGTCATCTCTCCAGCCCCGACACATAACTTCTTACTATTATTTTCCTTTAGCTATAGAGAGTAAAAGGTTTCATTGTGTTTGAGACATAAGTCTTGATGTCACCAGAGAAAGCAAGTTTGATCTTAAAGCTCTGAAAAAAGGCACATGGATTGTGAGGTAAATGAATCCTTGTACGAATGTTTCACTACAGAAACTGGGAAGCTGGAAAAAAGCAGAGAGCGACCACGTTCCATTTTCACCATTATTATGTGGAACATGTGCTCTGGTAGTCATTATTTGGGTCACAGACCCTGTCATGGGTTGTGGAATCAGACACTCGCCCAAATCTAGCTTTGCCTCGTGTATTGCAACAATTGGGAACATCATCACTTTTCTTCATGAGTTTATTGAGAGGAAAAGTTATGACTTAGACACATAAGTGGCAGCTACGAAGCTTCAGACCACTGTCAACCTGGCAGAATGGGCTTGTCAATTGCTCCCAACGAATAATCCTTACAGCTAAGCATCAAGGCACAGAACTGCCCTTGGTGCTGAACACAGGCTGGTTTTGGCTGCTGTTGGTGCTGTTTATTTTGCTCTTAAATAGAAGCTCTTGCAAATGAATCCTCAATAAAACTTATTTCTAATGTTAAGGGCATAATTACCTTAAGCCCAGATACAGTTTCAGATGGTAGAACTCTGTTTTTGACTGATAAGGTGTCTTCCACGCACCTCTTGCAACTCTTCCATGCTCCGTGGGTTTCCCTTGATCTTCTGTCTGCCTACTCACATCACCTCATCTATTAATCCTGTATCATCCTCCAAGCCTGGTGACTTCAGGTGCTGAGATCCACTTGGAAAATCTGTTGGAAAAACTCACACGTGCATGCACAAATGGTTGTGCTGGCATTCTGAAGGGCAGAGCTGGAATAGTTGGAGAATGCTCCAGCTCGAAATTATCCGCTATTCCATGAACTAAGTCACTAGCTATGCTGGGTTAGGAGACATAAGAGGTGATGACTTTTTCCCAGTACTGTGTGAGCCATGGTATTTCCTAACACTTGAATAGACCACGTAATCTTATCAAGTTTTCAGTTTGTATTATTCAACAAAGGAATTATTATCTCTATATT